AAATTATTTTGGAAGTCATTAAAAATATTTATAATAAATAAAATTGTATTGAAAGAAATACAATCATTTCATTCTATCAATTTATATGTGTATCATTGTTACTAAAGTTTACAACATATATGACAGAACGCATTGATTATTCTAAATAAAAAAATGATACATTGTTCTAAGTAACACGTCACACTGCAACTTATATTTGAGAATTACGTAATAATTTATTAATTTTTAAAAATTAAAATAATAAAAAATAAAATCCATATAATAGTAAAAAGAAAAACATAATAAGTATAAGATAGAACTCACACATGACATAATAAAAAAGAAAGAAAAAGAATATGATTAATAGTTCGTAGAAATTTATGAAAAAAAATGTATAGAGATTTAGAATATATGAGTAAATAGAATAGAGGTGAAAAAAATAAATAAATAAAAATAATCATAATAATAATATAAATTAAAAATGGCGGAAAAGGAACAAAACGAAGAAGATTCTTGTAACCTAATTGTTGGAATATGATGTTAAGACCTTTAGATAAGACTTATGTTGGATTTCATGAATACTTTTATTTCTTGTATAACATAAATCACCGAATTAAATAAAAAGAATAACAAGCACATCTTTAACCAAAACCAAAAATCAATATGAAGCCTTATGTAATTAGTAACCTTAAGATCGGATTAACGTCATCTTTCATACAAGAATCGAAACAATATTTTTTTATTATTATTTATACATTTTAAAACTGTTTAAAGAAAGACCTATTTTTGGGTTATTGCAAAATTTAAACTCAAAACTTTCATACTAAAATATCGAATTTTAATCGTCAAAAAGAAACATCCTGGGAAAACTTTTGAATCAGCAGAGTCTTGGTAAGGCTAAAATGTTAGGAAAACTTGTCCACGCGCCAAGTGCTAGTAAACCCATAGGCCACCTGCATGGGGTACGAGTATTAACCTAAACGTGGTCCAATAAGGGCCTAAACACCCATAAATGAGGATGGCCCTCGAATCGATAATTCCAGTATGAGATTGACTTGAACCAATCCACTTTCCAGGAGTGTAAGGTTCCATCCAGTCAGCTTCTGTATGAACGCGGATCAATATCTTTACAACTTTCCAAATGTCAATTGCCGTCTTTCGGTGTTCTTTGAGAACCACAGCATATATTCTTTGAGCACAGTTAGCCCAGATCATTAACGCGTATTAACCCTTTTTTTTTTTTTTTTCCTTTTGGGAATAATTGTTAATTGCATTAGATTTATTCCATTGGTCTCAAACTCTATTATTGCTCTTATCCACGACTTTCTTACTGACGAAGGAATGGTTTTTCTTCCTTGGGTGTCACTTTTGGTTGACTTTTTGATTGTAATGAGTGGCCGGGATTCCTTCACATTCATTCCAGTTCCATTTGTGCTTCAGATACAACCTCATTAAAGTCGGCCCCTGCCCCCATATTTTTTAATTATCGCCCCTAGAGAAGTAAATATGACATTTATGTCCATTGTTTCACATAACCCACTATAAAATGAAAGGTAGGCAGCCACCAAAGATTCATCATCTCTGCAACTTCCTTGGACACAATAGTCATCTGGAAACACATCCCAACAAAGCTTCTGTTTATTCCAATTTCCGAAATGCCCAAGTCAGATGCACAAGAGAATCAACCCCCAGCAGGTTCCAACTTTCTTCCAAACTACCCATTGCTACTCAGTAGTTTCTAGATTATTGTTTTCATGATGGAGGATTTGACAACTTACTTTTCTCTTTGTTTTTGACCCAAGGATATCCTACTGCGGATCCTCCTGCTCAGAAGAAGAGCTTCTCTCGGACAAAGAAGAAAGGAGAGAGAGGCTTCATCGAGGGATGGTAAGACAGACATATACCATATCAGTTTCTGCAACAAATTTAAGCAAACACACCTGCATAATTCTATCGAAAGAGATGAATGCATTTCTAGTTACTAGCTTCAACTATTCTGACAAAGTATTCCGGATTGCCATATCCATAACTGAATAGTACTCGGCACCTAATTGATGATGAGGCATTTTGACAACTTAATACAATCATGATCACTCACCTTGTATGTTATGTTTATCTTCTTCCTTCTCGCTAATAATAACATTTTTTTTTCCTTTGCTGTCTTTCTTACAACTGCAGCCTATTCGCGCTTTGCTGCTGTTGGCTCTGTGAAACTTGCTTCTAAACGCTGCTTTCAAGAAACATGAAGCCTATCTTTGGTAGAACACTGTTGATTGTTCTATAAACTGTTATTCTATGATTTTGGTCATATGTTCTAACAGAGTATAGAAGTGTTGAATTTAATAAAGATTCTATAGGAGTTGTTCATTGTACAAGCCTCAAAAAGATTCTATGGTTTAAGACTAACCTCAAAAAGATTGCACACACCTGACTTCTGCCTAAAAAATCCGCTACAATTAAAATAGGTCCAACCAGTAATATACTGAATCCAAAATGGATAAAAACCAGCATCAAGGTTAAAGTAGTAAGGCCAAGGTTTGAGGATAATATCCTATCGTTCTCTGGCTATAAAGTTCGAAAATTGGGATCAAGTTCTCTTCTGAGCACTAATTTAAGCTGTATCACCAAAGCCCAAAGGCTTTGCAAAATAGCAATCATGCTTCATATCAGAAAACCTAAAAGATGTGTAGAACACCACAGTTTCAGAGAGCAGAATTTGCAAACCATAATTCTCGGAAGGCTCAATCCAATGGTATTGATAATAAAAAAAAAAAATCATAGATATGCTTCATATGGTACCCCAAGGAGACAGTCAAGAAATACATCTTGTATAGGCAAAGAATATTGCTTAACCTTGAATGTTTAATTAGCTTGCACTTTAAAATACAAGATTAATTTATGTACTTTATTTAAGGGAAAAACATATAAGGCAGGACTAATATCATACAGTTCTGATATCACTCTCAAAATTACTTTTTCTACTTACTGACCATAGATCCAGTTGAACTTGATTGCATGTTGGGTAGCATCAATAAGTATCACACTTGGAAGGACATATAATTCGTATAAAAATTCTAAATAATACATGGAATGTCCTAATATCCTTCCATTTTGGTGTACAAGCTTATTGCTGAAGATGCTTCCACTAAATTGGCCAAAAGTACAGGCCATATGCCATTTTAAAATTCATAAGATTTGAAATGAATAAAGAACTAACCAATAGGGTGTGCTTTTCAAACATTATCTGATAATGGAAACAGCTTCTCCAGCATGTTATTAGAAAGGATCCTGTTGGGATCCAATTCCCTCCTTGCTTTGTTATATGCCTCCACTGGAAAACGCTTTTTGAGCCTAGCTTGCAGAGCTTCAAGTTCTTCCTTATCCTTTGGAACCTGCACATTGCATTCATTTATTGATGCTTAAACAAGCAGCATGAGTTTTATTAGACGTTAACATACTTTTGTGTGATATAGACACCATAAATGACCTAAATTCAGTCACAAAAATGCATGTTCAAGTGCATGCACAAATATGCATACCCTGCATAAGCTTTAACCTGATTTCTGCATAACATTTACAGGATTCACATAGACATGGATGACACAAACATCTGACCCTACGGACTAGTCTGAACAAACTTTCACAGAACAATGTTCAAGGACTGAACTATCAGCCATATTGGTTGCAACATATCTGCATAAGAGAATCGCCAATTTCCGATTGCAGTATTGGAGCAAGTATTGGTTTTTTTTTAATAAAAAAAATTCAAACAATCAAGCATTGAAACCCTATACCTTAATCCCATTGGAAGTTTCAAACTGAATTTGGTGAATGTGAGAACTTCAAGAAACTTTAAGTTATGAGACAGAAACATTCATCTGGAGACAATGCAGACACTATATTGATCATGGCTTTGATTTTACTCTTAGACAATGCTAAACAAGAAAAATTTTCAAGATATATTCACTACCTCAATCTTAGCCCAATGTTCATATGCAGCATATTTATCCCACAACTGTGCCTGTGCAAGATGCCTGTAGTGGAAGAATTCTTCTGTTATTTCCTTTCTCTGACGAGCATCCATTGTAGGAAGGTACATAATAATACCAACCTGATAAAAAATAAAGCAGATTTAGATATGAGAAGTACAAGCAATTAACCCACAAATATTATCTACTTAGCACACATAGCAGACCTTGCATTGATTTTATTGTATCAAGAAAAGGTAAGGTCATTAGTAACAAGTCCTCTAAGAAACTGATCCTTGTTCGACTTTCCAACATTGATATCGGAGGTTGTACAAGATTCCAAATCTTTTATCTGACTCTTTAGAATCCGGCCTTCATGTCTAGCCAAGGTCCAAAACAATATTTACTCAATTAGAACAAAGAACTTCTCAAAATACCAACTAATTTCAAATTATCAGAGGTACATAGTATTCTGCATGCTTACAGCATAAGAATTTCAATTCACCAAGGGAAATAGCAGCACAAAATCAAACAGCAAAAGATTATGGATTTCTGAGGTTCTTTAGGCTCTGATTGCTTTTGCAGAAAAATGACTTCTAGAAGACATTTTCCTCATTTCTTCTGTTTGGATGCCAGAAAATGGCATGGTCAACTGGAAGCCAACTTCCAGTCAACAGAAAAAGCTCCTAAATTTGGAAAAATTGTCTTCCATTTTTAAAACGCGGGGGACAATTTCTGAGCGCCTAATCTCTTCAAACCCCTGAACCCCTTGGCCAAGGACCAGCCACAATCACTACTCATCCCCTCTACCAGAACCAGCAACCAGGCTGTCGCCACCCTCTGCCACTGCCAAGACCAATGACATTGTTCCATCCTTTTCCTCTTTCCTTCCCCCTTGTTCAATCTCCCTTTCCTCCCCCCTTTCTTCCCAAATTTCCTTCATTTTCCTCTTCCCTTCGTTCAATCTCCCTTTGCTCCTCTTGATCTTCTCCTCTTTGAGTTTTCCCTCGGTTTTGCAAAGCTCAAGGAGACCCAAACCTGTCAAGACATCCTTTTGCAGCATTTGAAGCTTCAACCATGAAAAGTTTTTGAAACAAGTCAAGTCAATGAGAACTTTTTGGGTTCTTTCCGATTGAGACAAAAGCATTGATTTTTGTTTTTTTTTTCAAAATTTGCTACTCAAATCAACATATGAATTGAAATTTTATTTTGAGTTTTGAATAATTTACTTTGGGTATTTATGAAGTTTGAAGTTTGGAGTTTTCCATAAGTTGGTTATAAATTATGGAAGATGTTAATAACAATGAAAAATGCATAGTTCAATTAGCAAGAACAAATTTATGATATTAAGAAACTGTAGACTTGATTAAAATTTGAAATGCTTTATGAGTGTTTTTCCATATTAAAAATTCATGAAAAATTTAAATGAAAATAATAAGTTTCGAAAAAATATTTTCCATAGTGTAATCCAAACATCAGAAATCATTTTTCACAATATCATCAAAACAATAGAAAATGTTATGTTTTCCAGAAAATGCCTAGTATGGAAAATTTTAATTTTGCAGAAGTTCATTTTCGTGAAATTAATGGACCCTTAGCTTCATGTCTAGTAGGAAGAATGCAATTTTTTTTTTTCATAACTTTCTTTTAATTAGTATGAGCTCAATCCAAAATTAAATTCTCATGTTTTATTACTTACACTACCAAATAGATGCCTGCCACAAGGTGAGTTGGCAGAGGATTATGCTATCAAGGGATAAGAAAGAATGGAACTAATGTAGCATGTAAGCAAAGGAAAATACTTCCCCAGTTTCGATATTTACGCAAGGAAATAAGGGGAAGGAATAGACTAGAAAAGTTTCTATCGAACACTCAAAATTTTTGTCATGATCCATTTATGAATAGATTTATTTTGTCATTGTAAGTTAGATAATTATCTTCTCATCCTGTTAGCAGCCCACAGAAAGTGTAATTATACTGGAACCTTAGCTTCATGGCTGGTAGGAGGAAAAGTGCACACTTCAGATCATATTTGAGAGGAAAAGGCAACACCTGACATTGTTTATTCCTCAAAACTTATGCAAAACCCTGGAAGAGAAAAGAGAGAAAGACAGAAAAATGAAAATGAAGGGAAAACAATTACCCATGAAAATATGTCATCTTCCGCTGAGCTTGAAGCAGGACTCATCGGGCTCTGGCTGCAAGCTGTCCAGCGCTGCTCAATAGGAGCAGGAGCAGGTATCTCTTCCTTCTCAATGAGTTGCTTCAGCTCCTCTATATACTCAAGGTCCTTCATGCTAGGCTTGGAAAGAGTTCCAGCAGGAAAACAGGTTTCTGATACCCATTGTTGCCCTCCACAATCAAAGCCCAAGATTTCATCACTCCATCCAATTCGATATCCCTCAGACTTTCTCCAGAATTCAGCCTCAGCATGATTAACCTTCATGACATGATCTTTGTTGAGAGGATCAAGAGCAAGCAGTTTATCTCTTAACTCTGTGAATGAAAACTCATTTATGTCTGGGTCATTGCTATCAGGAGATGTAGAAGTAATTTCTCTAGCCCTGCAGAAAACTAAGTTAAGCAGTTAATTGACTGAAAATCTGAAATTGACACATAAACAGAACAAAAGTCATATAAGAAGAGGATACCGATACATTAGCAACAGGTGGGGACAAAAAATGAAAACTATAAGACCAAAAATGTATACCTATTCCCCTCGTGTAAAACCCAAAAAGAGGGATGGTTCTCAGCTGCTTGAGTGCCAACCCAGAATTAACCTTTAGCATTCAGAATAAAGATCAAAATCATGTGGAATTTGGCCAAGGGACAACCTAATTGGTAGCCATACCTCTCCTCTAAAATGGTCATCATATGTTGAAACTCCCTCACTGTGAGGATATATGCAAAGAAAAAATGGTTTGGTTGATTCCATTTTTATAGGTTATTATAATTCAATTTGGTCAATAAATTGAGGACATAATTGCTTTTTTTTTCATAGAACAATGTAGAAATCCCACTCTCTGAGGTTATTCACCATCATATTTAGAATAGACATTGTGCTAGAGGTTTTCAAACAGATAATAGGGATCAGATACATCAGTAATCTAAACAATAGTAAAGAAGAAACAACAGAGCTTCCACTTTCCAGCCAGCAACTCCTGACAAACCAATCCAAATGAGTCCCCGACTAAGAATCATTACCATACTGACAATGGACAAGAAATTCAATAGTAAGAAAGTTAAAACAGAGAAAGAAACCAAATTCAAAACGTTCAGGAATTTGATATATCAAATTTATTCTTTCCTCACCTTTTCTCAGTTACTCCAACAAGGCTATTCAAACCAATATAAACCAATAAATATGACTAACTAAAAGAAGATTAAGGGGAAAAAAAAAAGTAATTTCCAGCCAGGCTATTACAAGGCAAAAAGAAACAAGACCACCATTTCCATGGGCCTCATATTCAACAAATTGGAATGGTATCAAAAGACAATAGCAGTACCTATACTTCTTAAGAGATTCCTTGTAGAGATCACGAACATGCTGCATAGCCTCATCCTTAGTATATTTGGGTTTGAATTTGGGTGGACCTCTCCATTTTGAAACAGGGTTGCATGTCACAACCACAACAGTGTCAGTGTAGGGAATGTACAGGTACTTGACATGCTTATTCTCAGACAACATCTTCCTACAAGGAAAAGGTAAAAAGCTTTCAATGTTTGAGAATCAAATACGTCCTCCGTTAATTCTTTGATATATGAGAAGAAATATAAGACTATATTTCCAATTCAAACTCACTTCAAAAGAATGGATTGTCAAGCATCATAACCATTTGCAAAATATGTAATGCATTACTTAACACCAATCAAACTTCATCTTGATCCAAATTTTTGAGCATCTAATAAATCATGGTAAAAGCATATATAATACAAATTGACATGATCAACGCTTATTATCCACAAGACAATTATCGAAAGTCAGAGAGTGCTAAGTATTGACAATCGAGTTGCAAGTTGACAGTAATTTTATGAGATATTAGGAACTTATGTTTCTTCAGAGATCTGCGAACAGGGTAACAAAAGGATAAAAAAGAAATTACTTGTGGTTTTTCTTGATGTCTTTCATGTTTGAGACACTTGTGTGCTCCACAAGCTCTTGTCTTTCAACACATTGAATGGTGACTTCAGCAACCACTCCAAGGCCACCAAGACCACAGCGAGCTAAATAAAATAACTCTGGGTCTTCCTCTCTTGAAAGCTCTATTGTTCCCTTGGCAGGGGTAACAAGTTTCATGCGAATGACCTGTTCATCAATGGGAGGCAATTTTGATCCAGTACCATGAGCACCAACCTGAAGACAAGAAGATGAAAAAGAGGAAGGTCAGATAAAAATAGTTAACTAAAAAAGGGCACACCTTCATGCAATTGACTTCATTAAATTATTAATGAAAGAAGCTTTGCTCCCTAACTTTCCACTTCATCCAAAATTCACATGTAGAGCCATCAGGACATTGTATGCCACCACTGGACAGTCCTATATAATGAAAAATATGCCAAACTAAGACAAACCTGACATTTGGACACCATCAAAACCCCAATTCCATGTAATACAAGCAACAAGATGTGAAATTAGCTTTTTCTTTCATTGTGTTTCTTCTCTTCCTTTTACAGAAACAAAAACCTGTATATCATAAAAAGTACTTAGGGTTTGTCTAACCATTTCCTTCAGAAAACTACCAGTCTACCATGGTCCAAAAGTTCCCAACTCTTGCATTTGAAGCACAAGAAATCAGTACATTCTAGAGGACATAAAAAGTTCTAAGGTATGAAAAATTTTGTCACTTAGAACTGAGTAGAATCATATCAACGACGCTTAAGTTGCACTTCAGGCATACATAGCAAATAAAAGCCAAATTGAAAGAGAACTAAACATGCCTCCTCTACAATCTTTATTATTTTTAAGGCCGAAAATAAACACTGTTTCTGAATCAAAGGTCAAACACACCATGTACATAAGACATATAGAGGGTTAAGGCTTCATCAGGTTGTTACTTTTGCTATTTGCAATTTACTTTTTGCACCTTACTTCTTCAAAAAAAATGTACAAAGTAAATGCTAATAGTTTAAACAAAAAAAACCAAAATTACTATTCATTAAAAACGAAGAAATGAAATGCATCGACAAATTTTGACATAATCATTTTATAAAAATGTAAAATCATGCATTTCATAATAAAATAATTAGATACTTAAGTTTTGAAGCAAAGGGCAAGTATCAGAAATAACAATAAAACAGGCTTTTTTTGCTGTTAGATGCAGGCAATGCAGCAAAAGCAACAACAGAATGAAGCTCGCTTAAAATATAGTCCACATCCTAAAGATAAATAACTTTAATAAAAGTCAAAATAAAGTAATGCAAAGAGCAAACCTGAAGAATGCCACCAATCTGCTGCTCTCTAATGGAAGCGAAATTCTGAAGAGTTAAGCCATATTCCTTAATCTCATCCACCAATTGCTGCACTCTTATACCCGCTTGAACCCTCACCCTCTTCTTCTCCTTATCCACCTCCACCACTTTATCCATCAACGCCAAATTCACCATCCCTCCACGGGCCAACCCAATCCCATTCGGAGACAACCCAGACCCGACGGGTCGAACCTTAGTCCGCTTATCGTTCGACTCCTTAACCAACTGCTCTAGTTGCTGAAGATTCTCGGGCTGGTGGAAATGTCGGGTCTGGACCTCGTGGGTCCCACTCCAGTTGGAGACTGTGTGGAGGTCGTCCGGGAGTGGGGCGTAACGGAAGATTTGGGCCTTTTTGTGCTTGGCGTTGTCGGGGAACGGGAAGGAGTAGTAAGTGGTGGCGCCGCAGAAGATGAGGAGGGCGGTGTAGCCGAGGTATTTACGGAGCTCGGAGTCGGAGGAAGAGGCGGTTGAGAGGGTGCGGATTGGAGAGAAAGGGAGCGGCAGTGGAGGAGGTGGTTGAGGGCAATGGATGAGAGTTTTGAGGTGGGTTTGGAAAGAGCGCTTAAGGGAAAGAGAGCGAAACATGGTGAAAAGGAGGGTTCGAAGGCTGGATCAATGGATGAGAGGTTTTGGGTTTATTTGGTTTAGGATGATTGCTTTGCTCTGCTGGTGTGTAGAGGAAGGAGGAAGGAGGAAGGCAGCTGCTAATGTTGTCGTTTAGTTGTAGTGAAGCTGAGGAGTAAGCAGTAGTATGTTTTTTACTTTCATGGACTAAACTTTGAACTTTGTCTTTTTCTCGTTATAATCTGTGTTTATTTACCCATGTGATTTTCTCTCTCTCTCTTCTCGACTCCAGTGCACTTGTGTTTTGTTTTCTTAATGATGATTTATTCCTCCACTCTCTACAATGTCATGAGAGAAGTCTTTAAGCCTACTATGCTAGAGCCTCTAAAGGCATAAAGAAGCTGAAATGGGCATACCAAACTGCACAACTACACGAATTTAGGTTGCACGAAAAGCCATTGGCAACCTATACCTTTCCACAGCCTATGCAAAACATAAAACCAAAACAAGAGCAAGATCACAAGAAAGCTCAACCTATTCATGATATTATTTAATGATATTATCTAATGATGCATGGCTTTTCAAACAATTATGTGACTTTAAAAAATTAAAAATATATTTGAAACAATTTCAATATTTGATATTAAGTTCTAGATAATATATAATTTTTATCAAATCAAAACATGATACAACTTAAAGCTAACAACTTAATCTCAACCCCAGAGCAACAAAAAAGGCGTTGAACCCCTTGCAATCAGAACATACAAAATCACCTTTCCCCCGTAACAACCAAATCTCTGAGAACACAACACCTAATAGAAGTGTGGTCTTAAAGTTGGGTACTATTGTTAGATTTACCACATAAGAGCATGTATTGTTAACAAGCAATTTAACAAAAAGTAAAATATCGTTCTCATGAAGAATTGCATCAAAATCTTTTGTTAAGTATTAAAATTAACATAACTTAATCTTATTCAAACAACCAATTTTAAAATTTACTAAAAACTAAAGCAAGTAAAACTAATAACAAGAATCGCTATTTAAACCATAAAAATCAGTCAAACAAAGTCTAGAACCACAATATCTTCTCACAACTTCATTTGAATCTTTTCTACTCTCTCTTTACTTATTAGATAACCGAGTTGTTAAATTAGAGTTCTAATGTATTTTATAAGTGTCTTTCGATGTTCTTATAAAAATATCTCTTTTAACCAATCTACTATATTCCCATGCAAATTGCAATTAAGAAATACTCATTAAGCTTAAACTCTAAATTGGCTACATATGACATATAAATGTATTCCTACCCTACACACTAATTAAATCAATCATCTCATGCAATTGATATTGAACATATTCTATTTCATCCAAGGCTTACCCTAAAATTTCTTTTCCAAGTTTCATTTAGGTTGCCTTATGTATCTAGTTGGTAGTTAGTCAATCAGATGCATTAATTATAGGACTAAAATAAATAACTCAAAAACTATCAATCATAAGTAAGAAAAAATATTAAAAGTTCAAATTACATGTTGGGTTCAATTGTAATTCTAGATAAGAAATTTAGTTCCTCATAACTACTAAAAACGTCACCCAAAAATATTTAACCATCAATACAAAACAAGGAATGAATAAAAAAAAGTAAAGAATAAAGGAAAACTAAAATTTGTTAAGTCTTCGATCTTCAATCTTCAAGAGTTTTTCTTGCTTTCTTACTTCCTTGATGGTTCTTTTTCTTCAAAGAAAATCTATCTTAATTGTTGCCTTCAATTGCTTTAAAAATGCTAAGCTCTAAAAAGACCTGATTTAAGTCAAATCCAAAATTAAAGTGCCTGAGATATCGTGTTGGTGTTGCAGCCGCACTTTTTTGGCTTTACGGCACCCAACTATTTGGTTTTTGGGCGCTACAACCTCAATTATTTGGTGCTGCAACGCCACACTTGCAGTCTCCTAATACACTCTGCTACACTTAATCAAATTGTAATGTAATTTCTCCTCGATTTAGGTCGAATTGGACAAAGTGGTAAAAATGAAAGTTGTAGCTCTATCTCTTAGCTTTCCGATGAATTAAGAATCATGTAAATTGAATTTCTAAAATGAGAGGTATACTCAAAATACTGAAACATGTATAAGAGAAGTACTTGGCCATTCATGCACTCTTCTGCACCAATTGAAGCCATTTTAATTGCACACTAACAAAAGCATAAAACTAAATCAATACTAAACCAAACCTAAAAGCAATTTAACATAAAACTAAAATAAAACAACATAAATTAAACAACTCATCATAATTTAAAGTAAACTAACAGAAACAACTAAAAACACCTAATTGAAAACCTAAATCTCTGTTGGAAAAGATCAACAGTTATGACTGTTTGAAATAGACACAAATTGTGTCTATTAGGAACAGGCATCTAAGCCTATAAAAAAGACCCTCATTTATCGACAGAGTGTATAACAGAAAACAATAACATCTTTCCTTCATTTCTCAAATATTGTCCAAATTTTCTTTTATATCATTTTGTTGCAAAAAAAAATTTATAAAAGTTTGATAATCTTATCATACTCTAGTGAGTGCTCAATGGATTGATTTCGTCAATGTAAAACATCGTCAATCACTAGGCTTCATTGTATCTTCAAGATTTTTATGCCTGTAACTTTTTTACACACTACAAGTGGGGATGAATAAAGCCTTAAGGATAGTGGCATTGATACACACTTTGAAGCCAATTTTTACATTTTCTAGTTTGATGTTCTAACATATTACATCTACCATGCTTATCAATTGACCACTTCATCCATCTACGATTAATAAATCTCTATAATCATGAAATATGTCTTAGCCTTTAGAATTATGAGAGAAAAATATGAAATCTCTATGTGGAAGATGAGTTTTTTTAAAGGATTGCTCATATAAAGATATGGTAGGTGACCTTGATGTTAGGAAATTTCTATCTTCTGAACCACAAGGAGAACATATTGTTGCAAACAAAGTTGGAAAGTTGGAAAAGAGATGCATTAGATGAAAAGATTTCTTTAAGAATTGGGGTTGAAGCAAGCTGTGTATGTGGTGTATTGTTACAACTAGATTGCTATTGATTTGAGCAAGAACACCAAGTCCCACAATCGTACAAAGCACATTTGGATAAGGTACCATTCAAAGGAGGACCTAGATTCATAGAAATGGTGTCACATGACACCATTCACTTACAAAAAAAATTTACTTATTATACTAGTTATCTAAAATTTTGTGTAATTAATCTACTAATGCACCAATTAATTTTTTTACAATTTTGTAAAGATTAGTGTCAAAAACTCCAAGTCAAAGTAGATTTATCAAAAAGTAATTTACATATCAATATTTAAATACTACATGGAAAGGAAAAAAAATCCTATAATTTAAGATTTTATTGAAAAAGTCAAAACCTCAACTACTCTCTCTCACCAAAAATTGAAGTTCTATTCTTGAGACAAGCAGTGACGCTTCCTTTTCTCGATGAAACCTGCAATGATGCTTCCTTTTCGTTGTAATTGGCTGTATTTTCACTCCCTCAAAACAACTCATCCAGACTTCAATTGTAAGTAACTTTCAACCCAAATTAAGTTTTTAAATACTTCATTTCTAAATACTTCATTTCTAAATACTTTCAACCCAAAATAAGTAATTATACATGGTGTGTAAAAACATATAGGCATGGCATGTAACAACATTGTACTTAGTTTGCATAGTGTTTAACAACAATAAATTTCTTCTATCTGGCGTGTTGTACATTATGGGTTAATTATTATTGGGTCTATCTTAGCATTATATGTATGGTGTGTAGTGTGTAAACCGCATGCTCGGCATGGCATATCATGTAACAATGTGGGTTTAGGATTCATTCATGGTGTATGACAAATAAGTAATTATACATGGTGTGTAAGAACATATAGGCGTAGCGTGTAACAACATTGTACTTGGTCTGCATAACATGCAACAATAATAAGTTTCTTTTATTTGGTGTGTTGCACATTATGGGTTAACTTCTTTTGGGTCTAGCTTAGCATTACATGTATGGCGTTTAGTGTTAAAACCACATACTCGACATGGCATATCGTGTAACAATGTTTCATTTAGGATTCATTCATGACATGTAACAAATAAGTAATTATACTTGTCATGTAAAAACATATATACATGGAGTGTAACAATATTTTACTTAGTCTGCATAATGTGTAACAACAATGAATTTCATATATCTAGAGTGTTACACATTATGGGCTAATTGTTTTTGGGTCTAGCTTACTTGTGCATGGATGCTATATTTTGTAGATGGAGTTCATAGAGTATGATAACCTTGAAACTCCACCTGTTATGTCGAGGGAGAAGTGGGTCTTCAAGGTCTCCATTAATACCTAGTGTAAGTGGTCACAACTGCAGGATATAAACAAGATGCTCCATTACAAAAAGGAGTAAAAAATAGTAAAGCATACGTGCTTCGGTCTGCTGCTAGACGTCTATGTGACACCTTGGCTTTGGCATTGGTTGAGGACATCGATGCTTGGACCGTTTTCCTTTGGGGTCACTATGTTTGGAGGCTAATTGAGGACTACCAAGTGAAAGGGTTCGAAGCTTTTCCCACAACCTTGTAGAAAGACAATCGTTTACATTGCAACTTTTACAGATTTGCGTGGGTGATACAAGTACTATCACGTAACATTTTTTAGTTTCCTTTTGACATAAAAGTTTATGGTGGTAGTTATTTATCATTTAAGGTATTACTATAGTTACAATTGACTTGCAGTTCTAGGCAATAGAGGCGATTCTTGCTTTCTGAAAATTAATTGCTCTAACTATTTCAAAGAACAATGTCTACCCATGTATGTGCAGATGGTAATGCAATCACAAGCTGAAAGAGTTCTACTAGGCACTTAAAAGTTGGAGTCTTCTTAACAAGTGAGGTAATAGGTACTAATTTTTCTTATTAATTGGTAAACTATTTATCAAAATAATAAAAATTACGTATTTTGCAGTTGTGGCACACGAAACCCTAGAGCCTACACCAGAGGAGGACACACGAGAATATTGGAAGGACACAGATGTCCTTCTATCTAAAGGGCACCAGTACGTGCCAATGAGGTAGATGGAGGATTGACTAGAATGGGGTATCAATGAAGGAATAAAGATGAG